CGTCAGATAGAACAATCTCTATTACTATATATCTTATTTTGCAATGAATGAGGTTAAAATCAAACAAGAAACGATGGAAATGTTACCCAACGGTTAAATCATCGGGATCGAGATGCCTCTCATACTTCGATACGTATACGGATACGGATACGTATACGGATACGTCAGATAGAACAATCTCTAATGTTCGTAAAAGCTGTAACGTTAGCCTCATAGTCTGTCTGTCTATTTAGCAAAGCGAGTTTCCCCATTGTTAAACTATGTTTAAATAAATTTTGTGATGTTTATCGTTGAACACAATACAAAAAATAATTATATTTTATTTTATTACATTTTGTTTTATTACATTTTGCGTTGTCCTCAACGCAAAAATTGAGTAGCACAAAATGTAACAAACAAAAAGAGCATTATTACATTTTGCATTAATCCCAACGCACAATGTAATAACACAAAATGTAATAATCCAAAAATCGTGTCTGCGTTGATCTCGACGCAAAGTGTAATAACGCAAAATGTAATAATCCCAGTTTATTACATTTTGCGTTGTTATTACATTTCGCGTTGTAACAACGGGACGATATCACCTGTAGGGTGATAACAGGACCGAGTTCAAAATTGTTATGTCGCATTTTTATATCAATTGAAAAGAGCCATAGCTGCCTTACCGACGACACGGCCGACTCAAGAATTTAAAAGGAAATCACCTGTTTCTATTTATAGATATACTGTACCTTTTCAATTCATGAGCAAACTACGTAATATGATTTGAGGACGAGTGTTATATTTTCATAGTTGCAAGTATGTCTAATGACAAACATTTTACTTGTTCAATACTCTAATTCTGAGACAAAAGATTTACGCAGAAAATCAATAACAATAAAACAAGTTGCTATGAATTTGCAAACTTTAATAAAATAGTTGACTGTCTTTTTCCAAGATACTTTCAAAGTGTAATGTGTATATTATAACTTTCTGAAATTGTGTATATTATAAAACATAATTAAGAAAAACGTAGAAAAGATATACAAAGAAAAAAAATTAAAAAAAAAAATGAATGGAAAAATGTGGGGCTTGAACTCGCAATCACCATATTTACATTCCAGCAATCATACCGCTGCGCCAACGAAGTCAATGATGTCAAGTTGATAAATTTAAGACAGATTGCTAAATCTTACGATTATATGAGAAGAAAAATTAAATATATATTTTCATCATTTTCAATATGAAGACCACCTTTAACCAAAATTATCTAAAGGGAATGAAGTGCAGACATATCCAAATAAAATTATTCAAAAGTTGTTTTTCTGGTTAAGGGTGGTCTTTGGCAACAGTTTGTCATCGTTAGGTGGATACCTCAATATTTACTATATATTCTATACAAACTGGATAATTTTCAAATTTATCATATGAGGGAACTATTAACATTTCAATATCATTATTGTGTGATTTGGTTTAAAGCATGTATAAACTAAGACTGTATGACAAAATTTTGGTTAAAAAATGTATTTAAGAAATCACTAGTAGAGTAGGCGAAAATGCCTATCAAATGCGCTATGGCTCTTTTATTTACAATAACGATTTTACGGTACACTACTGATGGCTTTCGAAGTACTGGTTACATATTTCCCATTCCCACACAGCTAGGGATTTATGCCATTCAGGTATCTGAAAGGTGACTGAAATGTCTCTAGATCTGAATGACAGAGCTCTGCCATTCAGCCACCTTTCAGGACCTTTCAGTGAATATTTTAGTTGATTTTCATGAATTAAACATTTTAATTAAAACATATTCTACAAGTTTCAGTAACAGTTCTGGTTCGAACACATTTTATTGTAAATTATATACAAAATTTTTACAACGCACAAGTAACGATAAACATTAATTGGCTGGGTTCAAGAGCAACACCATCGACAACATGCATTTTGTCGGACCCAAGAACCAAACTGTTTACCTGAGGCTGTTATACAGTTTGGTTCGAGGGGTCGACAAAACGCAAAACGCAAACATAGTCAATAAATACCTTTTACTTTTTATTTTGATATATCTTGCTCTGGCTGCTATGTCTGCGATAATTGATAAGATTTAGCTCTTTCCGCCTACAGCATGACGTAAAAAAGTCAGCGATATAATATCTCATCGCCAGGTCTAATATCTCACTCAGCGGTCCAACATCGACATTTTTGGACAACACAGAAAAACAAATGGAAATATACTTTTTTCAGTAAAGATTTATATAGGAAACAATTTTTAAATGTGTAACAATCATTATTATATATATACATTTGTGGTATCTCTCTATTATATAAACATGCAGAGAGCAAATATCTTCATACCTGTATGAAGTTTTTCGAAGGTCATAGGTCATTACGTGACCTAATCACACAGCGCAGTAATATCTACATAAAAAGACTTACTCCACTAAGCAATATATAGCATGTTTTTCATGCATAAAAATGTACAAAATACGCAAGTAAAATAATAATCATTTTATTTACAATGTAAACGAGTATTTAATACAGTTCTTGATCGATTTTACATAGAGAATAGAAAACTACGTGTTATAAGTTTCATGTCTGAGCTGCATAGTCTCTACGTTTACCCTTATTTTTCTCGCAGACCTCTGAATGCTATAATTTTTTTCCATTAAACTTTACTCACAATAAATTTGAAAATCTGTTGAAAAATATCAATGTAATGCAATCACGCCACAAACAGCTGACAAACACTGCACTTTGGAAGTTCGGTAGGCACACCTCCATCATCGAGATCGTTGTGACGTTGTCTGAACAATGTACGCTGTCGCCAGTGTCTCCATGTCAACATCATAAATTAATAAATATGCCTTACTGAAATCGTAGATTTTATGTTTTTGATCAAATTTTGTACTTGATTTCAAGTTATCTGGTCCGGACAAGTGTCTCCATCCATCCCTTTCCGACCGCAATTCCTCCAACTTTTTATTATCAAACATCGGACGTGTTTCTTGTGTTTTTAAACATCGAATATGGGTTCTCATGAATACAAAAATTCCAAGACACCAATACGCTCACTATAATTGATCACAAGTAGCCTTTCACAGAATATTCCCTTCAAAGCAGAATCCTTTGCCAGATGAATTTGAAGCGTAACCGCTTTTCAAGCCGATTTACACCTAGCGTAATTAGTCAAAATCTATGACGTGCAGTTAGTGCAATATTTATATTCGATTACATTCGATTGTCCGTCTCAAATGTATATATAAGTAATAAATAACAAGTTTAAAAACTTCAATGGGAATTGAAGTGGGTCGGTACGTGATCAAATCTTCTGAGAAGGCCTTCGGCCTTCACAGGATTTGATCACGTGACCGACCCACTTCAATTCCCATTGAAGTTTTTAAACTTGTTATTTATTTCTTAAATATATGAATAAATAATTCTGAGCTCTCTGATTAGTTGAGATGCAATATTGTAGAAAAGTACCACCTGCAAAAGACCAGGTGAACATAAGGATTTATTTTTTTTTTATACTGGACTAAAAATAGACTGAAAACTTACATACTAATACAATTAGTTATGAAAAGTTATTTTACTCGCACCCGACTTCAACTTAAGTTGAACGTAACATCCAAGCACGTGGTATATGTATATGGAGTAATGCTCTCCAAACTTTTTTAAAGTTAATTTTTACTATTTACTTAGTAAGAACATGTGCATTGTAAGGCTGGTTGGCCTCCCCCGATCTATATCAAAATTCTTTGACCTTACCCCCCCCCCCCCCCAAAAAAAATACACATACACATAGGTTGTAATTTTTCTCTTCCCCCTCCTCCTCAACTTTCAAAATTGATATTAAAAATGCATGTGCCTGACATTTATTCTTCTCAAGAAATTAATTCCAAATTTTAACCCTGCTTTCTCACTGTGTTTGGCCACAACTTCTACAAATATAAACAATAGAAATATCATTATTTGATTAACAAGTTCGTATCGTTTAATAATTAAATAATATTATAAAACAGTTATTTTTGTTTTATTTAGTCAATACGATGATTAAGCCACCCTCGAAGTCAAATATTCCTTCTGGCTCGGTGAATATTGTGCTCCTCAGGCGTATAAATCATAGTATTGATCCCGAAAACAGAAATAACTGTATCATATTAACATTTCACCAGAAAAACTGTTCAGCTTCTTTTTCACTTTATAAGGCTGAAATTGAAAGTTATATACCAAAGACTGTTCCAGGCTCAAAATGTTTTGAAAATTGTTGTTTTAGAGATGTTTAATAGTTGCTCCAAATACCGTCTTAATGCTTTGAAGTATTACCATTTGGAGTGTACAAAAACAAATATTTCACAATGGTGTATTGATATCTAGATCAAAAAGAAACATCTTAAATACAAGGCATAATATGAATAGATATATTTAGATGCCCATGCACTCAAAGACAGAAAAATATGCATTGCACGTTGTAAGTCAACAAGAAGCACCCCGATTTTTACTTTACGCTTAAAACTCTGACTTAAGAAATCTTAAAAAAAAAAGCACTTACAGGAATCGCAAATGAGCTCCATTTCTTCAAATGTCTTTGGAATACATGTTCAAAATACTTTTAACAAGAGAAAAGTTTTGTGCAAAGTATTCTGTAGATTACCATAAAAATACATCAAAGCGTATTGTGTCAATTGCTCTTCTTTTCTGTCTTTAACTAGTGATAACACATGAAAAAAAAAAAAAACATACTGCTTATTCAATACAATAGCACCTAACTCTCTTTGAACAATTGAAAGGCTTCATAAACCGCATTTTGTAAATATGAGCATAGAAATTATTATGTATAATACATTATTTTCAGTGAATTATTTCATAACTATCGAAAATGAGCTTCCGAGGGATAATTAAAATTTCTTTTTATTTTCAACATACCAAGTTCGTATTGACACTTGTAGTAGCCAACAATGCATTACAACTCATTAAGTGATTGGTCAGTCGATAAACAGATAGCAAATTAAGCATGCAAAAATATGCTTACGTTAGAAAACCTAGTGGTCTCCACCCAATTATCTTAAAGTTGGCCACATATAATAATCAGGATTTTCCGGTGTAAAATAAGGACTTTTTCAATTTGAACCGTATGTTGCCGAGCATGACCTCAATATGTGACATGATCGTGCAAGTATTGAATACCGAAGGTTGAGATATAAAATATCAATGTCAATGTTAGTGAAATGATGTCCAACTTATAATTCTGGAAGCCTTGATTGGAATGATTCAGAATTATTTCATTCCAGGTTGATAGTGATATAATTATTATAATGTAATTTGCAAAGAAAGTCTGCAACCTTTTACTCTCAAAAAATGATGATAAACACTCTTATTTTTAATAAATGTGCCACTTTTACTATTCTGTATTGTGCTAGAGAGTAAAAACTGTATTTTCATGTATTGTCAGATTCTAAGGCACCAAAAGTCAGCGTTACACTATTACTCAAAGCAACCTTGTTTCCTGCTCCAGCGTTTTGTAAAAAGCAGTAAAGCGTCGATCCGTTAAAATCGGAGCGATATGAAAACACCGTGGGTTCGTTTCCATTAACAAAAACCCATTCTCCACAATTTGGCGTAAAAATTCCGCTTCTTTCAGGAAAATAGACAAATTCTGCGATTTGATGATCAGTTGAGTTGAAAATTCGAATGCCTACATCCTGAGCCGATTCGTTAGACTGATCTTTCGTTACATTACAGCTGATTAGAACACCTACAAACGTTTCATTGCTGGTTGTGTTGATCGCGTATCTGGTCGCTCGAACGGCAACAGATGGTGGTGTCATAGGAGCTGAAATGAAAGGTAAACATTTTTTTTTATTGATCATCAGTAATGACAATCAAAAAATGCATACATATAATATATTCATTTTTAACATTATACATATAATCGATCTTAATTATTCTAGTGAGTATTGAAATCGCAAATTTTGATAACAACCAGGATAGACAATCACAGTAAACTGTCAACGTCAGAATTGATGAGTCTTGAAAAAAAACCTTAATAAGCTTAAAGAAAAATTCCTTTTTTGTCGATTAAATAAAAAGAAAACAAGATGTGTTTGTGAAACACTGATGCCCCCGTAGTGCAGGTTATGGTGAAGGTAAAATTTTCTCAAATGCAAGTCAAACTCCAAGATCAACATCAAGAGATCAAAAATGTTGTAACTTAAAGAAAGGTCTTGTCTCAAGGAATATACCTGTGAAGTATGAAACACCTAGTACTAACTAATGAAATGAAAGTTATAGCCAAGAATAAAGTTTGGTAAATTTTGCGAAAGTGGGCCAAACTCCAAAGTCAAGATCAAGAGGTCAAACATGCTGGTAACCAAAAGAAAGGTCTTGTCACAAGACACATGAAAATATGAAAGCCGTACCTCCAACCAATCAAAAGTTATGGGCAATGTTAAACTTTTTTCGACAGAGAGACGGACAGGGCAAAAACTATATGCCCCCGAATCTTCGATTACGGGGCATAAAACAGATAGTTCTAGTTCACAAGATGATAATTTTTTTTGTGTGATAAATAGCTTAAAATATGAATTAGGAAAATTTATTCAAATATTTAATAACAATATTATAAAATTAAAAATTCTTCCCCGGTAAATGCCTTGTGACACGCAATACATTGTAAATATGCTGGATATTTTACCTCTTCAAATTATAAATAAAACAAGATGTGTTTGTGAAACACTCATGCCCCCGTACGGCAACTTATAGCAAAGGTTAAACTTTCTCGAATGCAAATCAAATATGTTGGTATTCAAAGTAAGGTCTTGTCTCGAGGAATATACCTGTGAAATATGAAAGCCCTAGCAGCAGCCATTGATTAGATATGGAAAAGATTAAAGTAATTCAAACATCAAGGTCAAGGTCAAATGGTCAAAATTAATGGTGCCTAAGGAAAGGCCTTCTCACAAGAAATATACAGGTGAAATATGAAAGCTGAAGCACCAATCGTTCAAAAGTTATGACCAAGGTTAAAGTGTTTCAAAAGTAGGTCAAACTCCAAGGTCAAGGTCAATGGATTACAATTGTTGGTATCCAAGGGAAGGTCTTGTCACAAGGATTACATATGTGAAGTATGAAAGCCCTATCATCAGCGATTCAAAAGTTATGGCCAATGTTAAAGTTTTACAAAAGTAGGTCAAACTCTTGTCACAATTAATACACATGTGAAGTATGAAAGCCCTAGTACCAATCGTTCAAAAGTTATGGCCAAGGGTAAGGTTGGGGAAATTTTTGCAAAACTTGGTCAAACTCCAAGGTCAAGGTCAAAAGGTCAAATATGGTGGTACCCAAAGAAAGGTCTTATCACAAGGAATACACATGTTAAATATGAAAGCCATAGCTCCAACCAATCAAAGTTAGGGGCAATGTTAAAGTTTTTGCGGACAAACAGACAAACAGACAGACAGACGGACGGACAGGGCAAAAACTATATACCCACGAATCTTCGATACGGGGGAATAAAAAATGCTTAAAATGGATTTCTTTGCAATGCATTATGATAATGCAATGCAGAAAAAAATTAATTACTTGTGACAAAATTGTACACATGTAGAATATGATTCCCCACCCAGTCTTTCACTGCGCGGAGAATAAAGGACTGAACTGATTTTAAGAAGGAACAAAAGATATCAATTTCAATACTTTCCGAACGAAACGAGAAATCACACTGATTGACTTTTAAACGGATAGATATGTCAATTTCATAAAAGTATAACATATTCATTGCATGGCTTCTAAATATTTTTCTTACTTACCAATTATTTTAAAGTTAGCGGTAGCATTGAAGATAAGTCCAGTTTTCATCTGCACACTGCAGACAAATTCAAATCGTCTAGATCCGCAGCGTTCCTCTGGAAAGTCGGTTAAGTTAAAAGTCACAGAAGCATTTATCTTTGAGGCATCTACTTCAAATACCGGAGTCAGAATGCTGTCGTTGGTGTATGTAACAGTACTGCCATTTTTAAAACGAACTGCTAGATTCTCGTTGCTGCTATACTGTTTGAGGTATATCTGCTCCCAATCACCACTTGTGATATTAATTCTGCAAGTATGACGTACCACAGTGCCAATTTCACCATATGACGGATCCATCGCAACAGCTAAAACAAAGAATCAGAGATGTGTTATAAAATTCTAATATCTTTATCTATGCAAATAAAAAGATACAATTGCAACTTTCATTAAAATTAAAACATTCATTTCCTAGGAATTATTAAAAGTACGCAACATATACTTTCGTGATCAATATAGTTGTAAATTTAAAGACCATAATACTGATAAGAAATTAAAAGGCATTTCAAAATTGTTCACCCGAAGCCTTCGTTTAATATTGTTACAATAAATTACTAATGATATTTTACTAAAATCTCGTTTAAAGTTAAAATACTGTATGTTTGGATCCTATAACTAATGCCAATCAAATGGTATGTTTATCTTTTGAATATGCTGCTTGCTAAATCAAAAATGGATTCTTCTCATTATCTAACTTATAACGTTTCTTGAATGAAGAAAATATCTATACCAAATTAAAAGAAATGTATGAAACAAATAATAACTATGATTTATGGAAAAACGAATTAAAAGAAATGTATGAAACAAATAATAACTGTGATTTATGGAAAAAATCTACTAGCTTTTAAATTTCAATACTTTTTATGTATATTTTAATGTAATTAGGTGAAGATTCATCCTAAATATATAAAAAAAAAATCCTCAAAATCAGACATTCATGTACTATGGATTTTTAAAAAAATGAATACTGGGTAGAATTATTCATTAAATACAGTCTACTTGTACAAAAATATGAAGAACTTTAATATTTCTGTGTGTCATGCTTCTTGAAAAATAAATATTTACATTTGCAAACGTTTTCTTTTATATAACACTATTAAAAGCAACGCGTATCTATATCCGTATAAACACGGGTTCCTCGCGTCATAAACATTCGACGTAATTTCTCAGTGACGTCATAAAGGGTCGACGCGCAATCAATGGATCAAATACGTGTCGTTGAGTTTGAAAAATAAAACATTTCACGCGTTAAAGATTATAATCAGGAAAACATAAAATATGAATAAGTCATAAATGTAAATATAAGTAATAATGTGTCATTTTTAAACATCTATCGGGATATAAATACGGGTTGGTACGAGATCAAATTTACCATAAAGCCCTTCGGGCTTTATGGAATTTGATCTCGTGACCAACCCGTATTTATATCCCGATAGATGTTTAAAAATGATACATTATTTCTTAAATAAAAACAAACTTTTTAGCACTTAATTTCCATATGTAAAAATAATAATAATAAAATAAAAATATCAAACAACATCTTTAGGAATCAAAACATATTAAAAACCTGCGAGTTGTTGGGGAGAGATGGTAGTGGACGTCATGGGTGCTAAACTGTCTGTTGTAGTGGAAATATTTACACTAGAGGCATCGGTAACAGAAGGAATTGTAGAACTGGTGATATTCAAATCAGAAAAGTCTGTCGTGATGGTGCTGTTATCTGAATTTTGCACGGTTGTAATAGTCATATTTAGAGAAGTTGGAGAAGTGCTACTTGTATCCCAGGAAGATGAAGTGGAGGCATCCGGAAGACCTGAAGTTGAAGAAGAGTTATAATCTGTATCCATGACCCCTTTAGTGGAAGTGGTGGAATCCAGAAGCACTGATGTTGTGTTTGATGTATCTGTAGGAATGTTGGTAGAAGATGTGTCTTGAGAATCAAGTGTTGTGTTTGTGAAGGTAGCACTGGTACTTGTTTCAGTGGATGAATCATTTAAATAAGTGGTGTTGCCTGTAGGAGAGCTGGTAGAAGATTTTGATGAAATTTGAGGAGCTGTCGTTGTAGAATTTTGAATGACTGAAGAAGTGCTATCGTTTTGATTTGTTGTAGTACGTGAGGTCGTTGTGTTTGTGATGGAAGGACCGGTACTTGTTTGAGTGGTTGATTCATTCAAATATGTGGTATTGCCTGGAGGAGGGTTGGAAAAAGATGTTGATGAAATTTGAGGAGTTGTCGTAGTAGAGTTTTGAATGACTGTAGATGTGCTAAAATTCTGAGTTGAATCCGATGAAGAAGTAACTGTGGTTGTATTGAGTGAAGCAGTTGAAGTACTGCTCTCTGAAGTATCCTCTTCTGTAGCCATGACTGTTGCTATCATCGATGAAGTAAGTGAAATACCACTCTCAGTAGTGTCGCTTTCTGAAGTTGTTTGAGCAATGGTCGTTGATGAAGCCAGTAATGTAGTATCACTTTCTGAAGTAGTTGTTAGTGTGGTAACTGTTGTTGCGATGGGTGGAGTAGATGATATGCTGCTTAATGTAGTATCAGCCTGAGTATTAGTTGTTGTAGCGGGCGAAACAGTAGAGGTGCTACCTTCTGTTGTAGATGTTGAGGAGCTTTCCCCTGGGGTTGCAGAAATTGCAGTTGTTGGTGGAATGGTAGTTGTTGTCAGAGCAGAGCCAACAAATTGAGAATTTGATGTGAGAGACTCATACTCAGTTTGTTCTTGTCGGATTACTCCAACATCCAATGTTTCTATTTCAATTAACACATTGAATGTATTAGCAAAGGTCACATTATTAGGCTGCTTTCTCCAGTATTCGGTTATTTCTGTTTTTACATTGTTAGAGGTCACGATTACTTTTGTGTAAAAGAACATTGAGAAACTCACTACGATGCTACCATTCCTGTTAAAAGAATAAAATTGTCATCCTTCCATAGCGCTTTTTGGTAAATTGCATTAATTCGAATAAAAATATCTGCAAGCTTTCTCCACACAGTGGCAATTCTTTTTACTTTGATGAAAATAGTGAAAATAACGAACAGTGATCGATCTAAAAAATCTTACAATACAAACTTTTCAACAGAGTATAAAACACAAACCCCCGAAAATTCCAGAGGTGAGATCAAGTGCCAAAGAGGAGTAAGCATCCCCTGTCGACCGGTTATACCCACCGTGAGCTCTACGGATTGATCAGGTTGACGGAACAATTCGCAGTCAAATCAAGTATAAAAACAAGGGCCTAATAAAGGGTGTGGAATATGTCAGTCAAATACGACCCAATGATAGGTTGTATTTGCTAACAAGGTCATTATAACGACCATATTATTTACGAAATGCTGATTTTAAGAGGGCTGGGTGGTTGTGGCCATTTTCAGACTATATTGAACTCCTTTAGAAGAAGAGCTCTATATAAAGATATACAAAAATGATCAAATTTTAAAACTAAAATGTATGAAATTTTTGTTTGCCAAATGATAGTTGACAGCTTAAGATATCATATCTAAAAAATAAGTTATATCTGATGGTTAATTTGTTGACCCCTCAGCCTCCTTAAATGCATTGTTGAAATCTCTATAAATCAACTTATTTTTCAGTAGCCTGCCTCGGTTTAAAAATTGATTGCACTCAAGGCATGTTATTGAGTATCGAATAAATTGGGAGGCATGAACACCATTTGCAGATATTTGAATAATACTTCATAAATAAAGAAAATTGACGGCGGAAAAGCTGAAGTCTTCTCTTTTGACATACATTTTATTTGTTAGTTGGCCATTATCGTCTATAGTCAGTAAAACATCCAAATGTGAAACAGAGGTAGCAGGCTGTATGGTGTCTTTTATTTCGAGTCCGCTGGGATACATCGAATCGACATATGAATAAAAGTAACTATAATTGTTAATTGATAAAGAGACGTCGATATGTCTTGAGTTAAAGGTCACTTCTCATGTACGAATTCTTTTTAAATAAATTCTTCATAGGAATACAAAAATAGATGGGTTAATAAAGGAGCAGAAGTAAACTTATGTAACCTACCTACATATACCTATATGAGAAGTCATTAACTTACAGTGAATGAAGTGCAATATTTCAGAATCAGATTCTTCCTTATATTTTATATTTTTGGAAGATAGTAATAATTACATGTATCCTTTTATTTCAAGCACGATGTATTGATATCAAATTTATAAAAATGTTGAAGAACAAACCGTATTTCTGTAACTAAACAGCCTTTGTAGTCATTGGTGTATTTATTTTGCTGTGAATTCCCCATCTGTATAGAATTCAAAAATATAGCAATAAAGTGTATATTACCATAATAACATCGATTTTTAGTAAAAAACTAGTTTACTACAGTAAAGATTTTATTTTATCTATTTCACGAAATAACAGCATATACCTTTATATGTCTTCTTCTCTTTTATACTTTATGAGAGAAGATCTTAAATCTCTTGTATTTGACTTTTTTGTTGTAAATTAAAATGTAGAGGGTTTTAATTAATTTGTTTCGCCAAATAACACCCTATATAAACTATTTATCATCTCCTTTGTAATACATCACGAGAGAACTGCATTCACTATAATTTCCTTTATGACATTTATGCACATTTATCGCAAAGTTCATTTGAGGTTTTTAATCGTCTTAAGGAAAAAAATAAGATTAATGAATGCAATAAAAATTGAAAATTACATTTATCCTAGTTGATTTACTATGAAGATTTAAGAGCCATTCTCTGTAATGACTTGAACTTTTATATAGGAGCTGTGGCACGCATAGTCTCAGAATTTCTCCAAACTCTCTATGATAAAAGTCTTTGATACCGTTAACTCAAATCAGGCAAAAATTGGTTGCTACGTGTCATGGTTACCATAGCAACATGTCCTAAAGTTTGAAAAATGGCATTTTTCAACATCTTCAGAGTCCCACAGTTAACGTTTGCAGCAAAGCAAACAAGTTGCAATGACTGTTTCTGAAAGTTGAAGGCCTGGTGTCTTAAATGCATGATAAACATGTTTGGTAAATCATCTATAACTTACGTTACTATGGAAACAAAGTATTCAAAAGTAATAATTTTGTTCATTTAATTTTATAAAGTCATACACTTAAGAATAAAAACAATAATAGGTTGAAATGCAAGCAAATAATAGAGAAGAGATCCTTGTAACATATACCAAGGACAAAATATGATATTTCTTATAGGTTGGCAATGGTTGCCATGGTTTTAATACCACGAAAGGATTTTAAATTTACTCTCTTAGTGTTTTAATCTTATCCTATCTTTTTAAAAAGCATATTTCTATATAACTGATGATCAATTTTTAAAGGCCTTGGTGTGACCCTAATTTTCACATTTCAAAGAATTCAATTTTAATTCTTTAAATAGTGCGTTGCTATGGAAATAAGGCGAAAAAACATGCATAAAAATCTGAAAAATACTCTGTTTCCTTGGATACGTACCGTTGTATGTAGATTCCCAAAACTTTAATGATTGATATATGTGAACAACTAACCTGACTTTCAATTGTGACTATCACCCAATCTCTAACTGGATGCAAAAAGCTGGCACATAGGGTCTAATATTGACAAAAAATTAACAAAATCGAACATTTTCTCTTCTTGGTTACCGTAGCAACAGTGTTGTATTTTTCAACAACCTTTATCAATATATGATATTCAACTTTAGTTCTACGAGATAAGTACTATTCAAGGTGATTCAAATGATATTTTTCTTGATTAAAAGGTTGGTAAATTCCTAAAGCAGCAAAAAAATATCACTTTAAACATCTAGTACGTTGTTTCCATGGTTACACAGCAAAGTAACAATTAATCTCAATTTTTCTTATGTTGTCGGTGTTGCAAGGCTCTAAGGATGCATATGTGCCAGTCATGAATTTTATTGTTTTCCCTCACGATGGTAGCATTAACCCAATCATAGCAACAGATTTTGCATGGTGACTCTGTGTTACCATAGCAACCATGAAAGTTATTTTTAGAATAATATTGCCAATACCTAATTACAGGAGGTCAAATATTTTTCATTGTTTTTCTTACGTTGTTGATTGAGTTTGATCATGTAACATCTATCATTTGTGGCTATAGAGCGTTTTTCAGCATTTTTCAGCATCTAAAATGTATTCCAAATGTACCCATGGTTACCACTTACTTAGAGATAAATTCTAAATAGTTTCTTTATAGCATAAGTGGCAACAAGGTGTCATGTTTTTGGGAGAATGGTTTGTTTGTTTTTCTTAGTCTTTATTAAGGCTTAATAAAGATTTAAAGTGGCTGAAAATCTCAATTTTTTCAACTTTTCTGGCTGTTACCACGGCAACCAAGACACATAGCAACGAAATTTTATTTGATGTATGTTTCTGGTGTCAAGTTGTAATAATGGGCAAAGTTTCATCAAAATCGGTGATCATGCGTGGCAAAGAAGTTTAAGTGGTTACAGAGAATTGCTATTAATATTTTACTTTGATATTACATGTTTGATATATATATATATATATATATATATATATATATATATATATATATATATATATATATATATATATATATATATATATATATATATATATATATATATATATATATATATGTATGTATATGCCCTAATGATAAAACGATACTAGCTTTTCATGATGTTTTGACATGCTAAAAAGCTTTATCGGGATCCAATGCATATTTTTTGCATAAACTTTAGTTATTAAATTGAACAGACCTGATATTTTTTCTTTTGTTTTACAGTGACAAATAATGCCTTTGATGAACATTTTCTTATACTTTATGAGCTCCGAAAGAAAAATGATAATTTATTGAAATTTATTTGTTTTCTTTTTAAATTATAAAAATATTGTCCGAGAAACCCAACTCGAATTATTACAATTATGCGAATTCGAGGTAACTCAACAGATGTTAGGGTAGAAGTATTATGCCTTTGCCATTCATCTTCCACGAAGCTGAAAACATTTAAATTGCGCAAATGCACAATGCGCTATTTCATTCCTCATTTTTTTCCTCATTTTCAGACTAACTTTTAGCAGCTAGCAATAATTATATCAAAATACGGTAAAATATATATATTGTGTGTACATGTAATACAAGATTTCAAACTGAACTAATCGAAAATCATGATAGGGTAATCATCATAGTATGTCATCAAAATCCTAACATGGATGAGTAAATGATTTTTCTGGATCTGTAGAGATCATTATAATGTATAATATTTTTTTTACCATTCTGGATCTGTAGCGATCTGTATTGTAAGTATAATGTTTATTATTATTATTACATTATATTCTATACCGTTCTGCAGAAGTCCTTCTGGAACTCTATAGAGAGAGTACTGTTAAGGTCACCAAGATTTTTGTCATATTGCCCCTGTAATGTTAATGTAGCTGTGGCCATATCTGAAAGTTCAACATTTTTCATTTTGAATCGTTTTCTTTTAATTATGTCTACTTGAATTGAGTGACAATAGGATTTTATCAATGTCAAACAAAGAGTTTAGCAATTGATTGCTTTTTTCTTGTTACTCTTGATTAATCTGCATTTCGTGCAAAATAAAAAAAAAACAATATCCAAAACTTACAGTATTTAAATTGACCTGAAATAAAAACGGAAAGAATATGTCACAAAAATCGTTTTTTAAAGCATGTAATAAATGTACTGAAACCCAAAATTATAATTAAAAAAAAAACTTACTTAAAAGTTAAAAATTCATGTTTTAAGCGAAAATGTTTTTCCCCGTTTACCTTCTTCTATTAAGTAAAGAATGAGAGGAACAAATGCAGTGCCCAGTAGAAGGATGACCAGAGCAGTGGTTACCAAAGACCAAACAGCGCACCTGCTGGAGCAGCACCTGGATTTCTCTACTGACCCGCTTGTGGTACTACGGCTACTGCTGGCTTCTCTTTCGGAATTGATCTTCTACAAACAACCAATGACACATTTCAATTAATTTTACATGCTTTATTCAAGATTACAATGTGGAATAATTATTTTGCAAGTTACAGAAGGGGTGCTTGTGGCGGTTCACTTTGATGTAAATAATATAGGAAAGAGAAATTAATAAAACCTCTCATACTGTGAAACTGCTTAACTATCACACGTCCTACTTTGTTTTATATTATCTGAAGACAGTATTTTCACTTCAGGAATGCTAGTTCAAGACACTGTTCACTTTTACTCGACACTCCTTTGATTTAATTGGACTAATATGACTCACATGAAACAAAAGATTCACATTTTATGATGGATTAATTTTTAATTCTTTATTTCAGAAATGTTTATGTAGATCATTGGTAATATATGAAAAAAAGAGTTTGGTAACTAGTCTTATACATGTACCATTTTAGATTCCTCAATTTACGTAAAAGATGATTTGAAACGGATCAATTTCATAAATCTATTAAAAAATACGAAATGTTAATGGGGCAAAAAAGCCCCCACGGCCGGACCCATGGAAACACAGGAGGTGGGATAAGGTGCTTAGGAGTTGTAATCATCCCCTGTCGCAGCCGCCGGGAACCCTGTAGTTGCAGACTGTGTCATTATAAACAAGTATTCAGAGAGTACTGCAACGAGTCCCCTGCCGGTCTTTATCGTAATTCCGAAAAATCATTGGAGCGAAATGAAATGTTAATGTGATCTGCATTTCTACAGACAGTGAGACAGACATACATATAGACATAGAAGAAACTCGTTATCTCCTCCCTTCCCACCGGTTTCACTAGTGGAGGATTAATTATGGGAGAGGTGACCATACAATACATTTGAAATGAGTGCACACTTAATATCCTAAAGATATCTTCGATGTAATAAATCGTCCTATGTTGTCATCATTGTTAACATGTTTTTCCAATTACATGTTCAGTAGCGATATCTAATGCCACACATTTTGTAATGAAATGTAATATATATGAATACGTTGGGGCCATATCCTCTATTATATTTGATGCATGTAGAGAAAATTTGATCAGCCTTTTGTGGCCCTATCTTAGTCCCATGAACCACGCTATGAACGAATGAACGAACTTTATATTCATTACATACATGTAAGAAAACAACCGATTTTTCTTTCAAATTGTTGTATTTGGGCTTCTACTTGCTTCTTCTTCGGAATTGATATCCTATTCATAAAGGTACATTTCGATCAATATCACATGCTTTATTGAAGACTACAGGATGGAATAATTATTTGACAAGATAGAGCAGTTTTACTTTGATGTCTGTAACACTAGGAAAAGAGTACAATGAATAAAACGTTTCATAATGGTGATTCTGCTTTTTGTTCTCTCTGTCTCTCTCTCCCTCCCCCCTCTCTCTATATATATATCCGAAGACAGTTTTCAATTCAAAAATACTCAATGTTCGACAATGATACTCCTTTGTTTATAATGGACTTAAGTAAGTCACAAATGAAGCAAAATATTCATATTATACTGAAACGCAAAAGAAGCGCAACAAGCGGTAATCTACAAATATTTGAATTTTTTATCTAATGATTTTCAAAAATGAATACAGTAAGGTAAAACTTGATTTATAAACATCAGAGATTTGATAAAAATGTTAAATTATAATCTTTTAACTTTAGAAAGTAACACATGAATGTTACCCCCCGGTCATTCAATTACAACGTGCAAGACTGCCATGTACAACAGTGGCAGCTTGATTTTTTATGATGCAGTAGGTTTATCAATCTCGAGATCTGAGCGAAAGAAATATTCTTTGCCATTTTTAAATGCCTGTTTTTCAGATGATGAGGTCGAATTTTCTCTAGCCAAGTGCAGTGTAGTAACCCTTGGACCGTCATTCATGCTAATGATACGTTAGAGCCTGTTGAGGCGTGATGTGTTGTATATTTGCATCTGCAACTCTCCATCACCTTTATTTTGATATTTTCCAGCTAGAGCAATGGAAATGCGTACTTAAGTCATTTTTAGGAAGCCTTGGCATCGCTTACGGAAAAGAAAGGAGAATTTATTTTTCGTAACATTGCTTCATTACTTATGATGAACAGATACAAATTCTTAAAACCCCATATTATTGCCAAATATTTTGTTAAACATGCAATTTTTGATTTCTGTTAAGCGGACTCAAACTTAACTTCCGGTTATGGTATGAAAATCATTCAACCGTTAAATTACCAATATTTACAAAGTTGAAGATGTCCTTACAAAATTATATCCTATATATAATATTTCCCCCTAAAATAGGATGTTGCGTTTCTTTTGCGTTTCAGTATATATAATGAATTGATATTTTGCATTCTTCTTCATCTTAAAATTTTGTGTAAATAAATGTTAAGATCAAAATTAATTACAAAATAGTTTTTTTGGTCCTAGTCATATACTATTATGTATTCAAGATGTCTCGCATATCAAATTAAGCTCAAAATATCCCAGAATCTAGAAATAAAAGTCCGGAAAAACCTGAGGGACAGACTGACTGGCAGACGAACAGTAAAGAACTCATAGCACTTTCCGGTTTGTGAGGGCATTTTTTAGTCTTTTTGTGAAAAAAGGATGAAAAATAACGAAAATATCCCCTAATAAAAACAGTACAATAATTTATGATATAATATAGTATAATATATTATATTATAAAATATATATAATGATACAATATTTGATCACATTTCTTATTTGTGTTTAAATCACAATATTAAATGAATGGAGATTTAATCAATGTTCAAGAGAATGGTATCTTGAATGTTGTAAAATCCTGCACCTGTCTGAAATAATTCCTGCTATTTGTTGATACAGAAGTGTATTTCATATTGAGAAAATTAAATATGCTTACAACAGATGTTAGTGGCGAATATCACAAGGAAGAAGGAACACCAATGCTTAGAGTGGATTTATCTTGATTACTCCTAATTTTCACTTAATGCTTTGTAATAAAGAAATTAAAATACATTGATAGAAAAAAAGTCAAAAACGCTTATTTCACATAATCAATATTCTAAATACAATAAAATCTCCAAACAAGACAATTTTCAACTCAAGTAGTCTAGTTCAAGACATTGTTCAATTTTACGCGACACTCCTATGTTTTTATTGGACTTATGTAAGTCACATGAAGCAAAAGATTTACGTTATAAGATGAATTAATATTTTGCATTCTTCTTCGTTTCCAAATTACGTGTAAATAAATGTTAAAATCAAAACGCCATATAGTATTATGGATTCAAGATGTCTTGCATATCAAAATAATCATAAAATATCCCAGAATCTTTTTAAAAAGTCCAGAAACAAGAGGGACAGACTGATAGCACTTTCTGGTCTGAGAGGGCTGACCTACATGTAACAATATACTATTTGAATAAACCCTTACATGTACAATTCACACTTGCTTTCCTAAAGATAGCTTTGTGTAATAAATTGTCCTTAGGTGTAATCATTGTAATCATGTTTTTCCAATGACCTGTACAGTAACGATATCTAATGCCTATGACACATTCAGTAATGAAATGCAATATATATGCATACGTTTGAGTCACATTGAGGCGTCTTTCTTCCTAGATAGGAAGTATGTACAGAAAAGTTGATACATCTGTTTCACCCTATCGTTATCCCATTAACCACGCTAAGAACACATTTAAATATTTGAAATTTGAATGTGCATTACATATTAGGAAAGCAAACATACACCTTTATTAATTGGGACATTCTCTGTTAGTTAAGATTTTAATATATGTAAAGACTTCAATATATTCACCTATGTAATTTTTTGACCCCATTATATATTAATGTATATTAAACCATTTCTTAATTATTCATAGAAATGTTGTACTTTGATTATCCTTCCTAATTTCTGTAAACCAATTTACCTGGAATTTTACACACCGAACAAAGAAAGGTTATATCCCTGTTTCAATTAAACCAACCCTTACATTGCATACTCGACTAACTTAATTGTTTTTAATCCTTTAAAGGTTTTGAAGGTAAGTATATATTTAGAAAAGGGTTGCAAGACCTAAGATTAAAAAAGAAGTCCATGTATCCGCAAATTTCCATAATGAATCCAAAGTGTATATTAGGAATTCATGTTTGTTCAAATGGATGGCTAGACTTCCTATGTCGGCAAAGTAAATAAGATATAGTGAAAATAAGGTGTTTTAAAGATCTTTGTGTATAAAAAAGCAGGGCAGTTAAATCTTGAGCAATAGCTCTTTTATTTAGTGAAGATTTACAAAATGTAATGGAGTCACAATAAAAAGCATGTAAGTTTCACACCTGATTGTAAAGGAGAAAAAATCTCTCTCTGTCCTTCTTTACAGAATTACGATGCTAAAATTTGTTTGATTTCTGTGCAAATATCCACAATTTTAAATGTTGATTCAAATTTATTTAAATCATTGTCAACAGGGTTAGAGCTGCACGAGAATAGCGATCCAATGCACCGTATTTCATTAAATTAAAACGCTGGTATTCCCTTTAATGTAGTTTTAGATTTCTTTCCGTCGTGGGTCCTGGGAATAGGGGTCTTACAAACGGAGTCAATTTTTACATCCATTAAGAAATGTTATTGTGTGGAATAATAATTGAAACTCTCCATCACATGATAAAAAATGCATGTTATTGCAATGTTTGACACATATTTATATTAACATGTATGTAATGTAGTTTGAAAAGTGTGTAAGTCAATGATCAGTGTATCGGGTTGGGACAATTAAGTGGTATTCAAAGAATGTATATTGTATGTATTATGCAAAAGTTGACCCAAGTGAGCGCCGTTCACTATGGACCTCTTGTTAAATTAGAAAAAAAGTTACCCTTAAGTGACAATATAAATTCTTTTACCTCATCTTTAATAAAACCATCGTTTTTCCTTCTTTAGTTTGTTTAAATCTATTAAAATCAGCTGTTCTATCTTTTACGAACATCTGATAATTTAATCAGATTGTGGTTTGTTATTTCTCTTTCAATATGTATAAAGTAAGAAGAGGTAATTTCTATATTTTAGAGTTAAATTGTGCTTTAGTTGATAGATAAATCTACAAAATTTAATAGACGGTACACATAAACTAAAATACAATCATACAATAATGTCGTATTGAATAACATGATCTGAAAAAATAATGTTGGAAATATATCCGACAGTACAAAGTGAGTAACAACCCACAGTAAATCAAAATTTACATAGCATGAACCTGCAGCATTTTATCCCATTTTAACTTCCTGTAACACAATCTAGCTGACACTGAAGAACGTTGACGACTTAAAATGTCCCCGACTGTTGTCAACGAGGGATGTGATACCTAAACTCGTTAACTGATCCAACTTAAAGACGACCTCTCCCTGATTTAAAGATTAACCAGTGCCTCTGTATGCAATACTCTCTAAAAATCAAGGATCTTAGTGTTTTTGTGAAAAAAAAAATTAAAAATAAAGAAAATACCCCCAATAAAAACAGTAAAATAATATATGATTCAATCATATTTAAATCACAATATCAAATGAATTGTCATTAAAATCAATATTTAAAAGAATATTGTCTTAGATGAATGTTGTAAAACGGGGGTAAAAATCCCTGCACCTGTCTGAAATAATTCCTGCTATTTGTTGATACAGAAGTGTATTTCCTATTGAGAAAATGAAATATGCTTACAACAAATGTTAGTGGAGAACTACCAGAAGGAAAAAGGAACGCCCATACTTAGAGTGGGGTTATTCTAATTAGTCCTAATTTTCACTTAATGATTTGTAATAAAGAAATTAAAATACATTGAGAGAAAAAATTAAAAGTGCTTATTTCCCAAATTCAATATTCTAAATAAAATGAATTGAATATTCAGCAATTTTTTCCTACTTCATGTGCACAATAATAATGCAAACGCATGATTCCTTGCAAATTGAATGGCAATTTTTGCTTTAAAAAAATCGATATATTCAAATGCATGTCGAAATCGTAAAATATACACATGGAATTCCAATCGGAAGGCAGCAGATGAACGGTAACGTAACTTACACTTACATTGAAATAATGGATCCACTGGGGAACATTAAAGCCCCTGTCTCCTAATTCAAATATGTTTCTATTCGACATATTTGTCACAGAATTGTCAACAGTCCACAATAACAATTTTGTTCTCTGAACGCTTGAGTGACTGTGTGCACTTGATTCTAATAATCAATGCCCAACGCGGACGGGTGGATTATGTAACGAAAAATGATTTGAAATACTTCGGCTTGTTTCTTTTGTGACATACACATTTATGAAAATATGATATTTTAGTGAATGATGGGCGAGGCTATTCTTATTTTAAATAAGGAAATGATATACAACGTGTATTTTAATGAGTTAGTATGTTTTAAATTTTTTATGGAAAGAAATAACAAATTCCCATAGGTCTTCTTTTATCAGAATCATCTAGAAATAAAAAAGAAAACCTTTTTCGTGGAGAAAAAAATAGAAAACTTAAAGCAGAAAATACATAAAATGTGTGTTTTGTTAAGAGTACTGAAATGATTTACAGTTATATTTGGAAACAAGTCAAATGTTGTTGATAAAAATCTCGGCTTGAAATTGAAGGAAATTTGTTCTATATTTTAGGATTCATTTCTTTGTCTTAAAAGCTTCCCGACATTTATTTCTTTACTTTCTAAGATTGTCAATTACAAATTAAATCACATGAATTTACATTTATGAAGATTTATTTCATGGTATTTATAAGGCAGAGTATAAAGACTACAAAGGATTAGAGTACACCGGGGGAATTTCGCAAATCAAATTCCCAAATACATGTTTTATTTCCAAAAGGAAAAGTCAAATGAGGGGGTGACATGTGACACTCCTCCTCCGTTTTCCTTCTAGCGTAACTTTTCCGAATGAAATGTGTTTGAAATAATTTACATCATCAATGACTTTACATGTTTCTTAACCAATGAAAGGAAAAAGTTTCCCCTCAGATCATGCCTTCTGCACAGTAAATCCAGAAAGAGAAAACTGTACCTTCATTAATAAATTTATCACTTTAAATTTTATTTTCACTTTTTTCCCTTTCAGATCAACATTTTTGTCTAACATCTAGTAAATCACAAATTGTCATTGAATAGAATTGTGTCGAGTTGTCACTAACAAAAAATACTATAGTTAACTTTATTACAGTTAACTATAGTTTACTATAGTACCAAAGTTTTCACTATAGTAAATCGAAGTTTAATATAGTAAAGCAAAATATATTTACTGTGAATTTCAAATTGTTGCATTTTATTTTCTTAAATTCCTACATGCAATTTTCTTAAATCAAAAGGAATTATTACAAGAAGCCTTGTATATTCACATATTATTTCCATAAATGCATCATTGATGTGTAATGTAAGACATATTAAGGATCTAAACCTTGAAAAAAAAATCAAGAGTAAAGTTTCATAGTGAATCAAAGTATTTACTATAGCTAATTTTTAGTAACTATAATAAATGTTTTAGAGTTGTATCAAGATAATTATTGTCTCAAAAATTGTCATTTTAAATATATTTCATTCAAGCACTCGGTAGTATGTTTTGTACTCACTTTTGAATTTGATATAACGATTTAGATTTTTTTTTATAACAGACTTGTTGAATTCGTTATAACGAAGAATATTTATAATTTCAGATTTGTTGAATTCTTTGTAAGGAATTTAAAAAATTGAACAGATTAAATTCGTTTAAATGAGTTCTAAAATTTGTTATAACGAAAATAATTTATTTGAAGAAATTCTTAAAATTGTGATAAGGAATTAAATTTTCTTCAATCGAATTCGACATTTACTGCCCTTCGAAAAAATATTTATGAAATCGTTATAACAAATTGTTCATATTTATTTAACCAAATTTAAGTCCTCATAACAAATTTAGGAATCCGTTTTTATACGAAATTGATCCGTTATAACAAATTTTAGAATTCGTTTAAACAAATTTTAGAATTCGTTTAAGCAAATTTTATTTGTTAAAAAAGACTTTTTTGAATTCGTTATAACACATTTAACAAATATGCATTAGCAGATTAAATTCGTTATAACGAATTAAATCCGTTTTTATCAAAATTGTCAGTTCATTATATCCAATTCCAATTCCAATTGATATGTTCTAAACGGGCATCCGTATGAAACAATAACATTAAGCTGAATTAGATGTTAACGTATGCATGTATAACAAATCAATAATAACCGAAAGTAAAAGCATATATCATTTACTACAGAGTCTGACACATCTGTTTCATATTCGGATATTTTACTTGAAAAATACGTTAATGGTAATCTAACAACCAAGCTTTATGATACACGTGATGACTTTAACTTTTCAATCGTCAGCTTCACTTACATATGCAGCAATATACCTTCATCACCTGCATACGGGGTTTATATCTCTAAGTTGATTCGATACACAAGAGCATGCTCTACGTATGTACAATTTCTAAAACGAAGTAAATTATTGACAAATAAGTTGACGAAACAAGGATATCAACAGTCTCGTTTAAAGTCATCATTTCGTAAGTTCTATGGTCGATACAATGACCTTGTCAGCAAATACAATTTATCATTGAGTCAAATGCTGACTGAAGTTTTTCATACTAATTGTTAGGCCATTATTTACACACTGAATTGTCGACGGATTTTTCCGTTATTTCCCGATCATGACAAGGAGCACACGACGGGTGTGACCGGGGATGCTCACTCCTCCATGGAACCTGATCCCACCTCTGATGTTTTGGAGGTCCGTGTTTGCTCTGCACCTATTTTGTAATGTTTAATGGACTTTTGAGCTTGAATACTGTTCGTTATCTCCATATATTTCATGTTAAATATAAATCAAAATAAACTTAGATTTATATCTGAAAAAAAAAATTATAAACACATGAAAACATTTTATTATGTACCTTCATTATTTATTGCTATCAGTTCTGCAATTAAAATGTACTTAAATTTCACGTTCATTAAAAGCATATTTCTAACGCTGATTAATTTCTGTCGATTCGTTCTGTGATTGATTTTTAGGGAACAAACGAATCACCTTTGTTTGAAGAAAAAAATCAAGTTGAAAGTAAAAGAACTAGTGCTCTTGCATTACTTAAAAAAAGAATGTAGATCAACTGTTAGAACGTCTATTTATATATCTACATTTTCTACAATTATCTTTTGTACATGTATACATGATAAAGCCAACTTGTTATCTTGTTATCGAGGACTTCATGAAGAGTCGATTATGCATTTTTTTCTTATGCATATACATGTGTATACTTTCATTTTCTGTTAGTTTTCCTAATAATATTGCACGTCACAGTTACGACGTTACTGTAGATATAAAGACAGAAAGAAAGTAAGTATTTAGATTTACTTAGCAAGTATAGTGAAATTAAATGCATAAAAGTTAGGACAGGAGTACCTTTGTCATCCATATATATATTATATCCCTGTGTGTATTTCAATTTTTAACCAAACAATTTAAGGACATATGCAACGTAGTTTGAACTTTATTGTCTTTTTCCCTGGAGTTGAAGAGTTTCTATACTTAAAGGAATCGTGTGAAGCATTTTATTGTCTATATATGCTGTTGTACACCTTTTCTAAAACAAGCTTGGATAAACAAAACATCTAGAATATATGTTTAGTAATTTTTGTATATTTTTCTTTGAATTATACAAGAATTTTCATCAATTGATATCTTTTCAAAACCCCTAGTAATGCATGTTGATTTTTTGTTTACGAACATCTGATGTTACTATAATCTTAAATTAAGAATATCTTGAAAAATTATCAGCAGGTAAGGTATGTTGCGTATGTCCTTAAAATTGAACGATTCGTAATTACATGTATGTATAATCTTATGGTTTCATAGTTGCACACAACAGTCTGACATTTTTTATAAACTAAATAGCTATTTTCAAACATTCACAAGGTTAAAACATACAAATATTTCGATCGACATTAATTTTACATCATGAGAATATTACAGTAAAAAAAAAAGTTAGTTTTACACAGCTAAGCGCACCTCCATTACTCTTATGAATTTACAACTTTTTCATATAAAATGGAAAAGAAAATAACTAAACGTAAATGCAAAATATATATAACCACATCGTCAAAATTATCTTCCAAATAAGTGATATCATTTCATATATTAAGTTATTTGTTGGTAAGGGTGATCCAAGTTTGCATTAATGGAGTTTTGTTTATTGTTTTTAAGGGAACAAACTTAAAATACATGAAATACGTAAAATGTTTTTTTCTTTGAAATGTGAAGATAAGAAGAAGTGATCATGCTCAAAATCCATTTAAACTACAAATTTTAAGCAGAACCAACACAGACCTTTGAAAACAGAGGTGGGATCAGATGCAATTTTTTTTAGGACAGATAATCTCCATACGTTCTTCAAAGGACCCAGTCAGCTCGTATATAATCGTAAAATCAATTCGACTTTATGGGTGTACAATACGCCATTAAACTGAAGAAATTACAAATTTGTCAGAGTAAAACACCTTCTCAGAAATGTTGGATGACTTATTGATAAGGAAAAAATAACCTTTACTATGTGAAGATTTAAATATGATTAAATAATGGTCTCTGGTGTCATGATCAGGGCAACACAAGGGGATAAACATGGCAAAAATAAATCTTTCTCTCTCTCTCTCTCTTTCTCTCTCTCTCTCTCTCTATATATATATATTACCCCACCTCTGATGATTTTTCGATGAAATCCTGGCTTCCGATTGGTTGAAGTCTGTCACGTGAAGGGGGTGTATTACTTATACCTAGTCGCTTGAAAATCAATACATGTTTGATGCGGAGTTCTTTTGTAACACTTCGAACAACTCGAGTTCACGAGGTTTGCGGGTGTCTGTTGATAAGTAAAAAGTTAATCAACGTAAGTAAGTAGATGGAACCTTTTTCTCACTTTACTTAAAGTCTTCGAAACTGTCAGTACGTTATGAAACACTCGCAAAAAACATTACGTAACACAACGTGACGTCATAATAGGCATTGTATGAGTGATGAAACATATAGCGGAGAAAAACAATTTTACAAACCACAGACCACAAACATTTCATCGGTGGGGTAAATTCGTTATATAGTTTTGTAGTGACAGGGTACGGGATGATACCTGTCACTACAAAACTATGTAACTAATAATACTTTCATGTAAATTAGTTGAATCTGATTCGTCGAAAAACATTTGTTAAAAAAAAACACTATCACCAGCTGAATAATAAAGCCACGCCCTCCAGCGTAGCAACAGTCAACATTGATTGACGACGGGTGATATTTCCAATAAAACTGACTGCGCAGAATTGATGCATGCACTGAAATATTCATTTGTATAAAACACTCAGGTGTATAATAAATACTGCATGTAGTTGAGTGTCAGCACTCAAAAACCGTTGTCAACCTCGATTGCGCTTCGGCTGAGAATGGTTTTCTTATGATGAAAATTTTCAATGTTATACTCTACTCAATTACATGCTATATATATATATATATATATATATATATATATATATATATATATATATATATATATATATACGAGGGGCATTTCAAAAGTTCTGGCAACTGGTGTGCGGTAAATTAATGAGCGGCATTATCATAAATTAAATTATATCAATCCCTCAAAATAGTCTCCGTTGACCTGGACACACTTTTTCAGTCTTGAAATCCACGAAAATGCTGCCCTATAGTCCTCTTTCGGTATACGCTTCATACACTGGAATACGGCACTTCCGACTGCATAACGACTTTCAAATCGCCGTCCTCGGAGGGCTTCTTCGATAACGGCATTCAACCAAAAATCGCATGGAGCTAGGTCAGGACTGTAGGGTGGATGTGGTAAAACGGCAATACCAAAAAATATTTGGTTACTACCTCTGTTCTATGGGCAGGTACGTTGTCATGGAGGAGCTTTATTCCTCTAGTACTGGTTGTTGGTCGGGTTTGTTTTATAGTGCTCTACAACCAGAGACAAGACATTCTCTGCATAAAATTGACCAGTAACACTGCTGTGTTCTGGAACCGGAACTTGAGCAACAGGGCCTTTAGAATCAAAAAATAAGGCATACATTACTCTCTGGACAGACCGGTTTCTGCGTGCAATTTGAGGCTTTGTATCATTTTCACCGATCCAAACTTTATTATTGATCTTAGTTTCCGGTTCAAAAAAATATATCCATGTTTCATCACCAGTTACAATCTCATTTATTCGCCTTTGGTCACAATCTTCATAAATTGTTAGTAACTGTGAAGCCATTTCTACCCGGATGCGCTTTTGCTCTTCCGAGAGAAGATGTGGCACCAATCTAGCACAGACTTTCCTAAGCTTTAAGTTTTCCTTTACAATACGAAAAACTGCTGACGAATTAATGTTAGTTAGGTCTGCTATTTCCTCAACTGTATATCTAGTATCATCAGCTATCGTATTTTGAACAGCGACGATTTCTTTTTCGCCATATGCACAAACTGGACGCCCCGATCCTCTTCAAATTGAACTACCCATCTTGCTATTGCTCGATATGAAAGAGCATGCTCTCTATATACTACATCTAAATCGGCTTTTATTTCTGTTGCCGTAAAGCCAAGCAATGAGCAAATTTTGCAATACGCTCTTTGCTCAACAAAAAAATTGTTCTCCTTATCAGTCATTTTTACGCCCAGTATACAGAGTATACCTAATAATGACGTCATTTTAGCAGACCTATACGTCATTTTGAATGTAAAATGACGTCACTACTAATGCATATTTGCCTAAGCTTTATAGAGGTATCAGAGTAATTTAAATCCGTAACGTAGTTAAAATTTTATATACCAGTTGCCAGAACTTTTGAAATGCCCCTCGTATATATATATATATATATATATATATATATATATATATATATATATATATATATATATATATATATATATATATATATATATATATATATATATATATATATATATATAATGTGCTCTTAAAGGTGCTTAGACACAGATTTGAACTTAATATTTTCTCAAATTTTCTGCATTATATCACGACTTATATATTGCAATAGCATTTCACACGAAAATATAATAAAAAAACGTATTTTATCTGGAAATTATTGAAACTACGAATTCCAGGACATGTTTGATTATCACATCCTTGCACTTTCACAAATTTTTATTTGATCCTTAATATTTAAGAAAAGAAGCAATTTTGTTGTGTATTAATGAAAGATATTACATCTATAATCCAGAAAATAAATGTAGAAATGTGAGAAAGCAAAACCCACCCACCAGTATCGCCAGCCCGTGCTCAGTGATGTGTACAGAGTTAGACACATTGAACACACTCGTGAAATGTAAACTGTTTTTGCAAACAGGGCACGAGTTCTGTTATTGTTAATGTTTACGATTCGCCGGGTGTGTTCTATTTGTTAAACTCTGCACACTCCACTGAGCACAGACTGACAATACTGTGAAAGGGTTTTGCTTTCTCACATTTCTACTCTGAATTTTCTGGATAATAGTTTTAATATTTTTTAATAATAATAATAAAAATTTGAGAAAATATTAACTTCAAATCTGTGTCCAAGCACCTTTAACAAATATTAAACATTGCAGAAAGAATTTGAAATTTGTAGATTTTATTCTCGGTGCACCTGCTGAGATGTTTGCTGAAGGGATAAAGTATTGTTTGTATGTATTCGGACAGATTGCAGCCATAGTCATAACACTATGTGTTTTGATCTGCAATTTACTGAAATTTACGAGGACGCACCAGGTCAGTTATTATCTACTTTGTATCTACTAAGGCGAAATATAACAATAAATGTAGTTTATGTCAACGCCAAGATTCATGCAAAATAAGGATAAAAATTAAATAAATGTCCAGCTTATTCACATAACATTAAGATGTATTGTACAATTGTATTATTTCATCCTACCTCAGATGAATGTGTACAAAATCATTAGTAAGATTAAAGTTCAGTTCTAAAAAAAATATGAAAGATATTTCAAACAATTCCGTTGCTTTTCTTGCTTTTTTTTTTTTTTTAGAATGATGAGCAGTTGTTCAAATCTAAGGGAACTGGATTACAAGCCATAGTCAACAATAAATTCGCCTCAGTGAGTGAGCCTTTAAGCACAATCTAAAGAAATATTAATGAAAAATACACCAAAACCTGATTTAATAATAAAAAGAAATTTCTAAATCGTATTTCATTTTTAGTAAAAAAAGTTTGTTTAAAACCTGAAATGCACGATCATTTGTTATAGGTCAAAATGAAAAATAAATGCAACAACTGCGGAATTCAAAGAGAGGGAATGCAGAAATGTAAAAAATGCCTCTTGGTGTACTACTGCAGCAGAAAGTGTCAGAAAAAAGACTGGAAAACGAACCATAAAACTAAATGTGGAAAGCTGAAAAATATCAGAGATAGTTTTCTTAGTAAACAGCCATCCAGCGATTCCGCTGAGAGTGCTTCCTGCGAATCTTGTGTGTTTTGTCTAACAGTAGGACAAGGCAAGAAGTGCGAACGTTGCCTGGCTGTCAGCTATTGCTCCAAATCATGTCAAAGACAACACTGGCCCGACCATAAGACCGTTTGCGAAAAGAATAATGACATTGTTGACGTGATAAAGACTGACGGGTACAAGGAACAGCTGAAAAAGTCAAAATCAGACAGATTCCGTTCTCAAGCAAACCAGAGCCGTAATAGATTTACAGCTTTTGATAATGGAGACCACATGATGTTTGGACCGTCAGCAATGTTCAGAACAGATTCTGCAGATCTTTCTTTGCGAAAGTCGACAACAAAAGACCTAAGAAGACAAGCAAAACTTTACGTGGAGCGGAAGTTTCCCCAGCAGTATATTATTGAGGATATTGAAGAAATACCCCATGAGTTTCCTTTAAGTTTTGGTAATGCAAGAGTGTCCTTCGTGGGATTCATTTCTAGGTATCACCACTATAGAGGGCGCCATTGTGTGTATATTCAAGTAAGTTCTATTATACTGTAAACGAATATGCTTGAGAAAAATGAAAAATTATTCATTTAAATTAAATTAACATTAAAAAAAAATACTCACAATGGAAAAAAAAATTAACACCTAACAAAGTTAATCATTAATATTTCTTTATTTTAGGATGAAAATAATGCTGAAATATATGTCGGGTTTTATCTTGATAACGATAATCCATATCCATATTTTACCTGGGGAGATGTGCGTCCAGGCAAGTTCATCTGCCTCCATGATCCCAGAATTCATTTCTTTCTTGACGGATCTGTCGGAATCCGTGTCAACGAAAGTAACGAAGTTTTCATTTTTGACACCTGAATTCATTGACTCTGATTCGAATGTGAATATGATTTATAACAAACATACATATGTACATGTCTTTTGCTAGCTGGTTGTGATGTTTCCGAAAAAATAGTTAACAAAGTTGGATTTTCGTGATAAGTTTTCTGGAGTTATCTACATCTCTATGTAGATATTTTGCTCTCTTCAATACTGATAATTCTATTGATCATGGGGAAAAATCGAGTAAGGAATATAGATAATAGTATTTCACTTAACTTAATGTGGTATACATAAGTCATTTACCTGCTATCATAAAACCATCTATATTTTCCGTTTTAATTGCATGAAATGTAGTATATGATTTTAAAATACATAATAAGTATTTTCAGAAATCGAAATCATAAGTGTGCAATAATGATTGAATAATTCCTTTCTCTCTCATTGGCTGAGATCCAACAATTACTATACTATGTTATATTTACCTGCACGTGACCTTCAAGGTGAATATGAGGATTATTTTCTCCACATTAGACTAAAAATAGATTGGGAAATTCCACATTGATGCAAATAGTTTTGGAAAGTTATTTCACTTGCACTTAGATTCCACTCATATGAACATAGCACTAAGGCACATAGATTCTTGGGTGAGAGGTGGGTGTGGGATGGGGGGGGGGGGTTGCAGGAGGTCTGCTCCCCTCCCCACCTTTTTTTGAGAATGTAATTTTTTCTTTTTTTCTTTTCTTTTTTTTTTTGGGGGGGGGGGGGGCGGGGCTAGTCAAAGATTTGTTTTCAGGTAAGTTTTTTTTCCTTACCATGCACCCTTTCTCAAAATCAAAACTATATACGTGCCTGACATTTATTTTTTTTTCTACATTGCACCTACACTAGAGTTAAAAATCCAAAATAATAGAACTGGTTTTGTATTTTAACACTTTTTCTCTCATTATGTTTGGCTATAGTACTTCAGTAAATGTTAACAAGTAAGATGGCATGGCTTGCTTGATGAGTGTGTGTCATTTAATCACTGAATCATATAATAAAACATAATTTCTGTTTTTTCGTCCAATGCTATGATTTAGCCACCTTCGAACTACAATATATAGGGCTCGGTGAATGTTGTTCTCCTCAGGTGTCTAAATTATCGTATTGACCTCAAAAACCAGCAATAATTGTATATTGTATGATTTGAGGTTTGGATGCTGTTATATCTATTTTCTTACAATTTGGCATAAAGCGTATGATACAAATTTTACGAAACTGGTGTAGAGTATTGAATAAAATTTGATTATTACAAAATTTTACAAGATCGATGCATAGTATGTTAAAATTTGATTATAAATTAGACATATGTATATTTCTTAGTACTGACTAGGTAGCTGATAGATAGTTGTCATACTTTTATCAAATCCACCCAAGTCGTTTTGGAATGGAAAAAGTATACAAAATACTTTATAATAGACTTTATATGCTCTATTTTCCAATAGCGCTAAAAATGATTTCTCAATAGAAGCAAGAAAACATTCTTGAAATAATGTTTTCACGTAGATAAAGATTAATCAAAGTTATATCTTAATGATTGATCAATTACTGTAAATCATCAAATTTTAGCGACAACTTTTTTTTGCGAGATTTTAATTTTGCATTTATGAGCGAGACAAATATTCACGAATTCTGGTTTTGTTCAATATAATCTATATAATAATATTTAAACGCGAGAATGATTTTTGCGAGCAGACTGCATCGCAAATTATGCGAAAATAAAGTGTTCGCGAATAAAAAGTGATGTACAGTGATTGAGGAGGCGGGGGGGGGGGGTAAATTCGTAAAAAGGGAGGGATGCCACAATTCTGACTATACGATAAAATTTTTTATTTTTACCAATACTTTCAATTGTTCTCTTTTATCATAGATTTTTATGTTTTGCCTAAATCGGTTTTGTAATCATAAGGAAAAAAAATAAGAATTTATGGTTTGTTTGGTTTGTAAAACATCGAGCGTTAAGCTGCACATTGAAGATACTGATGTTAAGACACAATGGTTTTGAATATCTTTTTCATATTGCAGTAGAAAATGAGTAATAGAACAATTCCTTAAATCAATATATCTAACTATTTAAACACTATTTGCTTAAGATTTGAACCTCGCTCTCAAAAAAATTTCATAAGGAAAAACAAAGATAAGGTATCGTTTTCAATTTTTTCTCTAAAATTTTTGAATTTGACTTTTTACTTACATGTACATTATGCTGCTGTATTTCTTCATTCATTATTCTCTGTCTGTTACACATTGGTTTGTTTGAAAATACATGTTGTTAACGTTTGTCATCCAATCGGGATAGAATGCTGACATTCAAAACTTCAAAATTTCAACGTGAAACGTTTTACAGCTTTTAAATAAGGGTTATACCCTGGAAACATCACTGGTAGCATGGGATCAGGTACTAAGGAATAAGCATGCCCTGTCTACCAATCACTCACGCCTGGAGTTCTATCAATAGGTAAACAGAGGAATCCGTAGTGGAGAAGACGGAGAAGATCGAATTGAGTTTCTGGTTCCTTCAGTTTGTTATTGACATTGATCTATTGTTTTCAGATTTGAATATCTTTGTACTCAAGGACAAGGGTTTTTACTAGGATAATTTTTTTTCCCTAGACTTTCATTTTAGGTCAAACTTTTATGTGTAAAAGTTTTCTTAATGTTTACAAATTCCGATTTTATCCCATTTTATCTTCAATCTTTAATTTTTGTGTCTGTTTCAAACATATTATTTTTATGAAGTAAAGCTCATGATACAAATCATTTTATTGTGTATATATATTGTATTCTATCATTATTAGTAAGCCATATAATGACGATTTCTATAGAAATGTTTTATTTTTCAATTAAAAAGATTTATTTAGTAACCATGCAAAGTTAGGGGGTGTTTTTATAATTTCGCTGTGTAATCCCGGGACGAAACATAATAATGAAAATAAAATGTTAGAATACGGTAATACAAACATTTTATTTAAAAAAAATAAATGTATGACATAAGACATTTAAAAAACAAATGGCATATTTTGAAAAGACAAAGTGGAAACTCCACAGTAAAATAGCCCTGAAATACCAACCTTCAAAGCGACAAAAAAAAAAAGCATGTAAACAAGCTGATTTTGTCATATCTTTCCACTCACTTTCAGGCATGGCTGACAATTACATTTTTCCTTTTGCTTCTTCATCAGTATGTTCTTTCACTGTTTCTCTCTCTTGCCTCAATCGTTGAATCATTAGAATTCCAAACCCGAGGTGACAGAAAATAGACAAAGAAATCGTTATAAGCAATGTCCAAAAATAATTGTTTTCTGAGCTTCCCTGTATTACATTCGCAGCTGGGATACTATGCGGCCAATAGCGAAATAGCTGTTGAAGGAATTTCTGGCTATCCAGAAAAGGATTTCTAAGAGATGAATCTGACCCTTTTCCACAATCTCCCTAAAAATTCAAGAAACCTTAATGGGTTGTATAATATCAATCTTTTAAGTATTGTAATATCATATTTTGTAATTTTATAGGACTTAATATTCTACTATGTAATGTAGGGGGGAAGGGGTGGATTTCAGGTTACGTTATATTATTGTGGTTTGTCAACATGTAACATACATGTACAGAGGTTTGACTTTAGAATATCACATATTATTCCCAGGCTTGTGGATTTCATGACAGTGATGTAAAGAAGCATCCAGTTGTAAATTTAATAAAAAAATAATTTATTGTTTATGTCCGTTTAACTATCTTTCCATTTACTTAAATTATCGATGAAATACACGTTGCGCTTTGACGTTGTTATGTAAACAAATGTTAATTGTTATTGTATAAGTAGATCGTCTTGTGAGATACTGCTGAACAGACAGTAAGGAACAGTATCAAACGTGCTATAAATTAGGCACCTGCCATCTTTCTACGAAAAAAATAGTCACGGGACATAGATATATTATCGTTTTACAATTGATAAGATAAAAATAACAGTGTCCTTGTCATTAATTATATAAATACTTATAATTGATACTTGGATGTTACTTTTTTGCAGAATTATAATTAGTTTTATTTAATAAAAAGTTTTGGAATTTGATTGTTTGGCGTGAGATTGATGTGTACGTATTATTAACCAGACCTGTATTTTAACGCCACAGATTGTGTATGTCAGTTTAACCACAGATTATTTGTTGAACTTAATATATGATGTATATCAAATAGAGTTTATAGCGACATTATTTTCTTTGTATTACACAGAATGTATGTAAAGCAGTATTGATCACGTGACCATTTCAAAAGTCTCTGTATATGATGGGCAAACGTCAATATCATCATATCACGTCATCAACATAGCTGAGTTGATAGCGACTTAGGTATGATAAAAACAATGTAAGTTTTAGTTCAAAGTAGCGTGTAATTAATTCTCCACCGCAATCCACTTTATTTTATTAGGCCAGAAATGTCAAATTCATTTTAAATTAATCCTTATACCTACAAGATGGGCGTTGTCTACAGGACTTAAACTCCTAGATGAACATGACTGTTTTGTTATATATATTTCACTGAAATGCTTATTAGATAAAATAATTGAACCGAGAAATGGAACTTGATTATGATTTACAAAGATATAAAGTAGAACATGATGAATATATAAACACAAGGCACTGGCGGAGGATACACCCTCTCTTCTTTTAACGAGGTTGGATCCTGATATTTAAAGTCTTAAACTTTTTTTGTCAAGTATATTTTTAGTTTCTACATACATAGCTTAATTAAAAATCAAAACCAAAAATGGGGATAAATATGCTTCTTTTGGCGCTACAGAACATTTAATATGACCTTTTTGCACTTAAATTTGTGTCTTAATAAAAAATAACATCTTCGACATTTTCCCTCCAATGATTTTATCCAAATAAATCATGGGACAAAATAAATTATTAGTATATTTAAAAAAAGACACTTTAAAATTGTGACTAAGAAAAAGTTTCAAACTGCTTCGCATAATCAATTATTTGACCTTTTTGCACTCAA